TGATTAAATTTTGAAATTATATGACCAATTTAGAAAGTGGTCAATATCGGGGCGGTTTTTTGGACTGTGGCCAAATATAGGACCAATTTTGAACTTATCCCTAAAAATTTTGTTTGAAATGAAGCTTTCTGTTCAGATTTGGTGTTAATGGATTTTTGGATTGTTTAGGTTAAGCTTGGGAGTGAAAAGGGGTCAAAAGTAGTGAAAATGGCTGTTTTGGGACTCTATTGGCTTGTATTAGGTTTAGGATTGGCTCAAACTCTTCCTTTTGCTTGTGTAGTAAGTCCTCTAATTTGTAAATGAGCAATAACTATCATTTTCTTTATTCCATTTTCACCTTATGAATATTAATTTGTTAATAATTTGCAGCTACTTTGTGCTATGACATTACCCAAGGGGAATTTAGTTGTTAGCTTTGTTCAAGAAAACCACAAGGTGAGTAGAAAACATCTCACTTCCATTTCCGTTTGTGTAAATTCGGTGGTTGAGTTGATTTACGAAACACCCTACAACTGCAAAACAAATATGACTTTTGGTCCTTCAACCGGCAAAAGCCAGTCAATTTGAGCGACTGCTGAGTTGGATATGTTAGTCGGCCGCCACGTGTACGAAAAAAAAATATATATATCCATGTCACCAATCGGTCACAAGGACCGACTTTTGCCGGATAAAAGGGCCAAAAGTTTGGTTTTTTTGCAGTTACATGGTGTTTTGTAAAGTCAACGGGAACACTTGACTAAATGTGAGTTACGGGACTAAATCTCAAATTTTTTCTAATTTTCATCAAGGTTTCATGTGTAAAGTATAGGCGATTTTGGCCATTAATTGCTCATATTAACAGCCTTTTAATTTACATCCCGTAGGATAAGTCGAAGATCTTCATGGCTAAATACTACTGCGTGAGATTACATACCATACTCGGAGTTGCTTTGGCTGCTGGACTTGGGGCGTCAAGAATGCATTATGAGGGGCAACTTCAGAGTCTCCCAACGCACTTCGATCGTGCCAAGTTTGCGTTCTTCTGAGTTTATTCATTCGCATTTCGTGATTCGAAAAGTGTTTGACTTGTAAAAGTGATTTCCTTTTATGGGCGTTATTGGATATGAATCTAATCAGCTATGATCTAATTTTGGTTAAAGTGCATTATTTTGAATAATGTTTGAGTGAATGATTTTGAGTTTGTAATTAAAACATTTAAAAACTAACAATTCAGTTTTGTTATGGAGTCATTGGATGGCTCGGCTTATGGAGCAATCCACAGTTATTCACAAATAGTGTATTGACACGTGTCCTACAATAAATGCACTTTGGACAAGTGTCAATACACTAAGTCATGGATGACTTCATAAGAAAACCATCCGATGGCTCTATAGAATTTTTGACTAACAATTAAAGTTGATGTGATGTAAAAGTATGAGAGAAATGATTGAAAGTAATAAGTAATTAAAATTATATAAATAAATGAATAATAAATTAAAGTTGAGAGAAACGTTGTGAAGAGGGTTGAAATTGACAGTTTGATGAGCGAAGGGACGCTGGAGAAAAAAGGAGCTCGAAGGTTACCAAAAGGGGATCTTGGAAAAATTAGGGCGTGCTTGGATACATATACATCCGTTCAGAACGTGTTTTTTTCATTAATCAGAGTTAATTTTTTAAAAAAAATTGTATAATTAGTTGTTAGTCAATTTTTGAGTTTATATTAAAATAATATTTAGAATAAAATAATTAGTGGTGATTTGATGTATAAATATGAGAAATGTGTGAAACAATAGTTAATTAAATTTATGTGAGTGAATAAACAGTGAATTAAAGTTGATGTAATGTATAAGAATGATTGTTTGATATTATTCAATTATAATGATAATATGAAAACAATAAAATTCAGTTTGAGTATAGATTGAATATGGATTGAAAAAATTATAAACAAACAACCCTTTTTTATTTTTTATTTTTTGTGAAAGAAGATAAGAGGCTCTGGGAAAAGGAGCCAGAGCAGACGACAATTCTTGGGTCTCAGAGGGCATGGGCCGAAAGCAACAATTATTTAATGGGCCACATTAATCTTCCATTAAATTACAACCATTCTAAGCACTTTTTTCTTAAAATTATAGTACAATCTAGCTTGCTCACAACAGGAAAATTGTTTTCCTCTTCCATTATTTTAATTAGCGAGTGAGGAACCGAGTATGTGTACCTACTAGGCTTTTTCTTTGCCTTTTAACAGTCATTGTAGCATCATTTTTAATTTATATATCTTTAATTTACCGATAAAAAAAAAAAAAAAAAAAAAACAGGAAACTTATCTTCATCATGTATTAAAAGTGTGAACCTTTTTTTGTTATTTTTTCAATTTTTTTCAATTAAACTATTTGACTCTGAGTGTTCACAAATGGATCTAACTCCTCTAACGATTAAGCCACTTTATATAAGAATGTAGGATAAAAAAAAGCCACTTTATATAAGAATGTATGTAAGGATAAAAAATTAACGCTAATATAATCATCATATACTTATATTATTAATAATTAATTAGACTTTTAACAATGGGAGAAGGATAATGCATTTATATTCTCACGACTCACGCATGTTCAAAACAATTAATTATACACTGCTTGAATGAAATGATTTGGGTCTCTTCTAGCTTAACTTGTTCGAGCTCTGGAAATGCAGCAGTGTTAAAACTCTTGAGGGAGAGCTTTACTGTCCTTGTGGTCTTACCCGGCTCGATTCTGGATTAGTCGGTTCCCCTGTGAATCCGAAAATTGGAAGGTCCATGTACCAAAAAAAAAAAAAACAATTAATTATATATTCTAATAATTTCGATTATATTTACCAATAAGCTCATAATTAATCAGCCACTTGACCTCGTTGATTTGATCAGATAGAAAGTCGTGTGTTCTTTACTTTCTTTTGTAAGTACTTTTCTATGGCGGCTAATTACGTGGACTTCTTATCTTAAACTTGAGTTAGTATTATTACTTTGTACCAATCTCTGGCTGCCTCTATTGACAATTCAATTCATAGCTCCAATAGAACAACGACGTCGTTTCAAGAGGTTTTGATAGTCGTTGATGAGATAACCATATGTATACATGACACACAGAAATTCTATGAAGCCATCGAATTGCTCCTTTATGGAGCAATCCATAACTTTATGTAGTAACACATGTTCAATGTGCATTTATTGCAGGACACATGTCAATACGTCATTTTTAAATAACTACGGATGGCTCCATAAGCCGAGCCATCCGATGACTCCATAGCAAAACCGACATGACAAAATCAAAAAAGACTTTGATATATTGGGTCGACAACTTCGGACATGGTTTGAAAGTGAAGATTATAACACGAAATCCACAAAATCAAAAAGACCATGGAATACATTAGGTACTCGATAACTTCTTAGACGACAATTGCATGCAACAAAATTAAAAAAAAAAAAAAAACTATTAGAACTACAATTACACTTTCCCTTATTCATACACAATCCATACATGAAGAAATCCAACCTAGAGAGAAACCTTCATCATCCATCACTCACTCTCGATCGCCCCCCAGCCCGACGGTTCGTCCGGGTACCTCACGTACAACGTGTACTCGAGCACGCCGTGGTTCGTCTCCACGTCGTACGAATATAGCCTCGTGATCGCGTAACCGCGCGCGAATCGAAAAACCCCCGTGCCCCCGACCACCGCCAGCTCGCGCGTCGGGTCGTCTATCTGATTCCGCCCGAGCATGCAGATCGTGCTACCCGCGATTTCCCCGGAGGTGAAGTAGAAGTTGAGGTTCATGGCAAGTGCCGTCTGCGCCAGGTCAGCGGACGTGATCAAACCCTGGATCCGCCCGACCTCCTCCGAGGTCGGGTCAGGTAGGGCCGTCAGAAGGTCGTCAAGTGCGCGGACCTGCCCGAAGCCCGTGGGAGAGGTCGACGTGATCGAGGCTCGGGCAACCTCATACACAGTCTGGTTTTCGCCGCCGAGGACGTCTTGCACGTAGAAGTGGATCTTGGCCGAGACCTCGCCACCCGACCGATCGATGACATGGAACCATGTTGACGTGGCGCGTTCGGGGGCTAGGGCGTTAATGGTGTTTGTTGTGGCTAGGAAAAATGAGGTGAAGAAAAGAATATTAGTGATCACAAGAAGATTAGCCATTGTTGATGTTGATTAGGTTTGTAACTTTGTATTTGTACTTTGGGTTTTATAGAGGGGGTGTTGTGGAGGGGCGTGAATGGCATAATGTTAAAATTTTGGGGCTGGTGTATAAGTTTATGAGAAATGCTAAGGTCTCGTTACGGAACCATTCCGTCGAGTTTGTAACCGTTAGATCATCATGTAACCGTCGCATATAGTTGATCTAACGGTTACAAATCCGAC